CGCAGGGCCGACGGGCCTGACGGCCTGCCCCAGCTGCACGTGCTGGTGGCCGGGGCCTCCGACGGGCGCCACCTCCTCAAGACGGTGGCGCAGGCCCGCCGGTGGCCCCGAGCGCGGATCCACGTGAGCGCTGTCATCGTCGTCATCACGACCAGCGGCATCATCACTGTCATCATCATCATCACTGTCATCATCATCATCATCACTGTCATCATCATCGTCACTACCATCTTCACGTGAGCGCTGTCATCGTCCACCGTCGTCATCACGACCAGCGGCATCATCATCATCATCATCACTGCCATCATCATCACTGTCACCATCATCGTCACTACCATCTTCACGTGAGCGCTGTCATCGTCACCGTCGTCATCACGACCAGCGCCATCATCATCATCATCACTGCCATCATCATCATCACTGTCATCGTCATCGTCACTACCATCTTCACGTGAGCACTGTCATCGTCAGCGCTGACATCGTCATCGTCGTCATCACGACCAGCGGCATCATCATCATTACTACTGTCGTTATCATCATCACTGTCATCATCATCACTGTCATCGTCATGGTCACTACCATCATCACAACTACCATCATCACTACCATCGTCATCACTACCGTCGTCATCATCATCCTTATCATCTCTACCATCATCATCACTGTCATCATTGTCGTCACTACCATCTTCACAACTATCATCATCACAACCATCGTCATCACTGTCATCGTCATCATCACTGCCATCATCACAACTACCATAATCACTACCATCTTCATCACGACCATCATCATCACGACCATCATCATCTCTACCATCTTCACAACTATCATCATCACGACCATCGTCATCACTACCATCATCATCATCACTGTCATCGTCGTCGTCACTACCATCTTCACAACTACCATCATCACGACCATTGTCATCATCATCACTTTCATCACTAGCATCATCACCACCACTATCATCACAACAAACTATGGGTCTCTGTGTGTGTCTATGGGTCTCTGCGTGAGTCTATGGGTCTCTGTGTGAGTCTGTGGGTCTCTGTTTGAGTCTATGGGTCTCTGTGTGTGTATGGGTCTCTGTGAGTCTGTGGGTCTCTGTGGGATTCTGTAGGTCTGTGTGTGAGTCTGTGGGTCTCTGTGTGAGTCTGTGGGTCTCTGTGTGATTCTCTCTGTGAGTCTGTGGGTCTCTGTTTGAGTCTATGGGTCTCTGCATGAATCTACGGGTATCTGTGTGAGTCTATGGGTCTCTGTGTTAGTCTCTATGAGAGTCTGTGGGTCTCTGTTTGAGTCTATGGGTCTCTGTGTGTGTATGGGTCTCTGTGAGTCTATGAGTCTCTGTGTGAGCCTATGGGTCTCTGTGTGAGTCTGTGGGTCTCTGTGTGTATGGGTCTCTGTGATGCTATGGGTCTCTGTGAGTCTATGTTTGTATGTTGAACTTCTTTCACACCACTGTACGCAGCCAACCGTGCTTATCGCAATGGAAGGACAACAAACTAAACACAACAACAACAACTACAGACTTTGCAAAAACTCGGCGATATACGTATAACAAAAACAGCGCTAACGAGTGTCCCGCCGTTGTTGTCGACCACGTGTGGACACAGTTCTACGTCTTGGAGAGCTTCCTGGAGCTGTACGGGAGACAACTGCTGCTCCTCACCCTTGCCCTGGAGGCTCCTCACCGCATGGGCCTGCAGGGTGAGCCACGTGGCCTCCTGCGTCACAACCCTACCGCCCACGGGCCAGTCACCCACCGCTGTGCGAAATCACGACGACGACAGTAACAATGATAACAGCGGTCCCCTATAAACACCGTATTAAGATGAGATTCGAAGATTTCGCTACTGCAGGAATTACTCTTTGGTTCTGTCGGTAAAGTCACGTAGGTTTTAGAAAAACACATTCCTGCGGAGGGAGCTGGTAGGAACACGTTGGGTTGCTCGGTCAATGGCCAGGGTCAACGGCGGCGTGGTGTATTCCGCAAATATAGCCGACTGTGAGGGCGGGCACAAGCCGGCGTGAGTAGGTTAAACGTTGAGTTTTATAAGGGCACCACGGGGTGACCAGCCCCTCCCACCCCCCCCACCCAGCCCCACCATCCCCACCCAGCCCCTCCCCACCCTCCACACCCAGCCCTCCCCACCCTCCCCTCCCCACCCAGCCCCACCCTCCCCACCCAGCCCCTCCCCACCCTCCCCACCCAGCCCCTCCCCACCCCTCTCCTCCCCACCCAGCCCCTCCCCACCCTCCCCTCTCCACACAGCCCCTCCCCAACCTCCCCTCTCCACCCAGCCCCACCCCTCCAATTTTTGGATGCACGACGGACGGACGGACACAATAATCCCCTGTGGGCTGGTGTAACCAGGAGGTTCCTACCAGTACAAAACCATGTTAACATGTTTTCAGTCAATCGTTGAGTGTTGCCGGGTCTGGCGGAGGGTAGAAAGCGATGCGGTGCGGTGGCTCCAGTGGCTTTGGCCACGATGATCGATCTTTGAATGGGTGAGTATTGAGTGAGTGAGTTGGTTAGTCGGGGAAAATTAGTGAGTGAGTGGGTGGGTGAATGAGTAAGTTGCTAAATGAGTGTGCTGGTGAGTGAGTTGGTGAGTGGGTAGGTGAGTGAGTGAGTGGGTATATAAGTGAGTGGGTGAGTTCTCCACGGGGAGAGAGACACGCAAACTCCAAATATACATATTCTTGGTTTTTTCGGTAAAGTCACGTAGGTAAACAATTTAAATTAATGTTATTTTATTATATTATTTTATTATATTTTATTTTACTTTTATTACTTTGAATTTTGAATTTTTTACCTACGTGACTTTACCGATAAAACCCAAGAATATTAATCCTTGCAGTCACGAAAGCTTCAAATCTAGAATCCAAATATACAGCAGCAGGCGCCTGGGTCTGGATCGAAACCCACGACCCCCTGCATACCAGGCGAGAGATAGTTAACATCTCCTAGTCACCGCGGTTCCACTGGGACTTACAGCAACATCGCCAGTCTCACGTGAAAAAACTTGTCGGGACCCTCCTGAAAGAGAATCAGAATCCGCGTGTGTTGATGTACGTTGAACTTCTTTCGCACCGCACGTCGTGGCCAACGGCGCTAATCGGAGGAATCCGTTAAGCCACGAAGTTGTTCTCACAGATGCCCAGAGCCTTGGGGCTCGGTGCACGAAAACAACAACAACAACAACAATTACACTGGTCAACAAACATTTTTTTTTCTGGCCTGGACTTTTGCAGCTGTTTTAGACTAATTTCAGGGTGCTGATTTCAAATCTGATCTCAGATTTGATTTATCACATCTCATTTTTATGCTATCGGCATAACCCATTTTCATTGATTTTACTCAAAATTAACTCCGTCACTTATGATTGCAAGTTGTTGCGAGTCAGTGACTGCTTTAGTGTTAAAACATGGTGCTGTATTTTTAGGATAGTGTGTTTTATAATACCATTTTATGTAGCTATCCACATCTACTTAATATTTTTCTTCCGCAGTTTTTATTGAAAATGTAATATTTGACATCTCAAAAACCTGATGTGATGGACAAAAACCGATGCCACATTTGGAATCGGCCACAAAAAGTGTGTTGACCAGCGTTACAACAATTGCCTTGCAGAGAAGAGCGAGCTCTTTGTGGAGCTGTTTGGCAACAGCCTGCTGCGTTCGCACACCGCCACCTACCTGCGCCAGCAGGCGCAGCTGCTCGTGGAGGTGGTCACTGACCAGGAGCTGGCTGCCCGCCGGCTGCCCTGGCTCGACTTGTCGGCCCTGAAGGTGAACGCAGTTTGTCTACGGCTACGGCTTTGTCTTTGTCCTCTCGCCCGGGTGCCGCGATGAGGCCCGACGCGGTCGTGGAGCTCGCCAGCTTGGCGCGGCTCGGGGCTCTGGCAAGGGCGGCCCCCCGCCCGCTGGTTCTTGCGGGTGTCGTCATCGTCACACGCGGCGACGTCACACTCGGCGACGTCACACGCGACGTCGTCACACGCGACGTCGTCACACGTGATGTCATTAACGACAGCGTCGTCACACACAAGTGTCGTCACACACAGTGTCGTCACACACGGCGTCGTCACACGCGACCTCGTCACACGTGACGTCATTAACGACATTGTCGTCAACACGGCGTCGTCACACGCGACGTCGTCACACGTGACGTCATTAACGACAGCGTCGTCACACATTGTCGTCACACACGGCGACGTCACACGTGACGTCATTAACGACAGCGTCGTCACACACAGTGTCGTCACACACGGCGTCGTCACAC